TATACCCTGCTGCATCATTTGCAGTCTCTTAATTCTTGAAGAAAAAAAACCTGTCTACACCCTGTGTGTCCAGTATATCACACCCTAGACTTGCTCATTAAAACTGCCGTGCCGCATTCCAAATTATCTACAACTGAATTATAGCATCTCCACTTTTGTCTTAAAAAAAATAACAATAAGAATGCACACATATTCATAAAAGAAAAAATGTGCATGCTCTGGCTCTTGCAGACTTCCTCCAGTTCCTACATGTACTGAGGTACGGACTTTCAGTAACAGGGATGAGAAAAAGAATAAATCAATCATGTCATTGCACTTCCATTCCACTGAGCACTACAAGTCCCTCTGCCATGGTGGCAGCTTCTCCATTCACAGAATGGAGGTCCAAAAATATTAGGAGCTTGGGGGTAGAAGAAGTCCACGGCGGGGTGGGGAGCTGACAATGTGTCCATGTTACACCCTAAATATGGGTGTAACTTACAACATGGTGTTAAAAGTAAACCTAGCCTTTCATTCTTGTAAGAAAACATCTGCCTTTGCCTTGTATTTCGCTCAGGTGTTTACACTGCTTCATCATCTGTGATCTTCTTTGAGAGCTTGATAGAAATTGGCCAGCAATAGGACAGTTTTGCATCAGCAGACACTAGCCAATTTTTATTTGGCAGGAAAAGCATGCCTTCTACCTAAAGAAGAACATATTTCTGGAACATATTATTAAAAGTGAAATTAATATTGGGGGGGTGGGGGTGATGATCCTGTAAAATTAATTCCTCAACTACATATGCACTGCCAGTTGCCAAGGCTGTTCATGAAATTTGCGCTTTTCTATAACATCCACAAAACCTGTAATTTAAAGGATCTGTATTTCTTCCATGTCACAAATGAACATCCAACACTAGCTGTGAAGTTGCCATTGATACATGTTCCCCATGTTAGTGACCTGCTTCCCATAAAAACAATGAAGAGTGACGGCAAACATATAAAGTGGTTCATTGAGTCTGCCCCTTTATTTGATTATTGTTTTTTGTAACTTTTATGTCTGAATATAGATCTATGTTTGTCCCGAACATGTTTAAAGTCAGTTACTGTTGACTGACTCACCATCTGCTGGATGACTTTTCAAGCATCAACTGCTCTCTTAGTGAAATAATACTTTCGAAGGTTAGCTTTGAACTTCTCTCCTGACAGTTGATTCCAATGCCTTTTTTCAGAACATGTTGTCTATTAGCCCTAAATGGACTAACAATGACAACATGATTGGCCCCTCATGAACTTCAAGTTCTGCGAATCCTTAACAGGACTCACCAAACCCCATGCTAATCGAACCTGGGCAGATTTGCTCACCATTACTTGCTCCTCACTAATAGAAATTAGTTCCAACATCCCTGACATTCTGAACTTTTAATGAAAGAATGAAGGAGAAGTCAAAGGTTGGTTCCATTTGCCACTTTGAACACATTTGCTTTTGTTACCAACATTTTCTAAGTACAGGGTTGGTGATCTTCTGGACTGAACAACTTTAAAACACCTATATATTAGTAAACTAGATAACCCCCAAAGACTCTCAAATATATAAGCAATTCTGGAAATGCCAGAGTTTTCAGTATTACCAGTCTAAGGATGTGCACCATATAAAAGAGATTTGGGGTTGTGATTAAAGGTAGCAAAGAACATGGCAGCAATGAGAGAGGAAAGTGAAATTATCAATACTAGCCTAAAGGACATAATATTTAATCTTAGAGGACAGTTTGCAAGGAGACGCATAAAAAAATGTAACTATGCCAAACCGTATGACTGCAAGAGTAATAATTTAAGGATAAAAGATATGGATACAGAACAGAGGAACTCCACTCGTCTCCGACATGGAACATGTTTCTTTTAAGGCTTTCATGAATACAAAGTCCACTAGCTTTGCTCAATGTAAAGTATATGAGAAAAAGATAAAACATTACGAGACAAGCACTGATTATATGCCACAGACCTTTTGGCCATTTTTTAAAATGTAGTAGACAAGTACCTTAATTCAAGGCAAGGTAATTTAATATATTTTCAGAATAAAAGGGATCAGTACAAAATGTAATTGTGGCGTACACAAAATCTCTTCTCTCAAGGACAAAATATCACCTAAGACTGAAGTGAGGTTATTGGAAGCTAATATGCTTTAGGGCATATGAGAAAAGAAAATTGATGGGGGATGTAGAGCATCAAGGTGTTATAAGATCAGAGAGACAATTTAGAAACCATCTTACAGGCATTGACAGCCAAGGCAAGATTTTTTGCTATAACAGTTCTCAGACATGGTCCTTTGACTTAAATGCCCTTGTATCTATTAATCCATAGACAGCCGTGTCGCATATATACTACAAGAGTTACCTTTGGTACCTATTTATACCCCAGATTTTCAGTAAGAACAAATGCAGGCTATATGCTGTAAGAATTTTCACATACACTTTATCTATTCCATAAATATATAAAATATGTGCACCCTTTATATAAACAAATGTTTGAGAGTGTTTATTATATTTCTAAACTGTGCACACGTGTATATGCAGCTGTCTTTTCATTGTAAGCTTACTTCATATCAGCATTGTGTGTCCATTTAACTACAATTTATACATGCAAGTATAAGGCTTTTTGCTGGTAGAGTAGGGGCTGGCCAGAGAGATGACGGACACAGTTGGACAGCTTGAACATGTATTACAATATATGTAAATATTGTTCCCTGTTTACAAGCCTCTACAGTTGCCTGCACAGAAATTCTCAGAGGGACAACATTCAGACACTCTATTATGCAAATACTAACACCTGCTATCTCCTAGTCCTATTAATGTTAATGGTGGTCTCAACGACCAACAGTGAAGTGCAGGAAATGGAAGAGGGTGGGCCAGTGCTTGACTTTAGAAGCAGAAGTCAGGATTTGTATAACACAGTACCCCAGGTTTAGAGAAATCCAGAGGGCTCATTAAGATCTTTAAAGGTAGTAAGGCATCTCCAGGTCATTGCATTTTACAGTTACCGCTTTAATATGAGTTGACAGGCTTACTTTATGTATAACGCAAGAGCCTTAATGGCACCTGTAGACCAGTGCCTAGGGCACTAGGGCAACAGGAAATGTTGACAAGAGTCACAACATTTAGGCTAGATTAACATATTTGTATTTGTTCTTTATGCATTTTCCATTAAAGTCAAAAGAAAACGCTTTAAAATACTCCTCAATTAATGTTTTAAGATGCCTGTTAATGCATCATAATGCATGTAAATGTACCATGACCTGCATCTACAAGCGGTGATATGTGTTATAATGCACATTCAATACAATAATTCGCAACTCACATTGAAAATGCTTGACAATACACTTTATTGCGAGTCGATGCGCGTTGAAATACGTTTGTGTTATAATGCACATTCAATACAATAATTCGCAACTCACATTGAAAATGCTTGACAATACACTTTATTGCGAGTCGATGCGCGTTGAAATACGTTTTGATGTGCCTCTTTTGATTTCAATAGAAAACGCATTGGGGGAAAAATGCATAGATGTGAATTCAGCTTCAGCCATTTTTCTTTCTCCTGTTTTCTCTACAGTTTAAGCAGTTCTGTATAAAAAACGGAATGCAAGATGCCTCCAGTTGAACATTTCAGCATTTGTTTTCACTAAGATAATCACATGACAAGGAAAAGGGGCATCATTCAAGAATGCATATGGTAATGTGAGGTCTAAATACAGCTCTGCATACAGGTCCTGAAAATTGTTACTGTATCATATGTAGGCTAATATAACAATTTACCTGGAATGGGATTTACCATATAAATTCACAAAGCAGTATTGAGCTCATCTTTCCAGTGAAAATGTTTTCAGTGCTCAGATACAGAGTGCATGCATTACTGACTCTCCATCACTGGGCTTTTATTGTTAGACTGTTTTGTCCATTTACTAGCCATCCAATTTAAAACGGCTATTTTTAATGGACAACAGTAATTTACACTGCCCTCAAGGGTAGCCAGCTTCTATTAAGTTATGTCAAGCAGAGAACCAAACTAATAAAAGCTCTAAGCAGTTTGAGGAGATGTCCTCTTAATTTTAGAACTCTGTGACATAAATAACTGCTTAATCAGTACACCTAGGAATTTAGACACAATGTAGAAAAAGTCCATTTAGATTAACCCAACTTCTATGCGGAATATCAAATGTAAAAAATATTTCAGGACTGATCCTCACACAAAAGGAACTAAATATTTCATAGATATATGAGTTGACTGTTATGTAAAAGAGGAATAAGTGATAAACCACCAGCTATATGTGTTTATTTTAAATGCCTACACTAAAGAATTAAAGTTCATACCAATTTACTGCTGTATTCAACTGACTCTTTCTGCTCATCAAACCAACCCTTTGTTATATTTTCAAAATGATGCTGCTGCATTCTTTCTGCAATATTTATTTTCCTTACTTATGGCTTGCAACATTGGAACACTTTGTCTGTACCCATTTCCATTGATGCAGAGTTTTAGCAGAGGGAACAGAACTCGGCCAATGTGTAGGGTTAATAGGAATACATAAAGACTTTGCGCAATGTACCCAAGAGATTAGAATTGCTGCTAAACAGAAAGAAGAGTTCAAATCACTACTGTCAAAAGCATATTATTACAGCCTATTTAAAATATAATCATGTCTCATGTAATATATACATATACTGTTTTTATCCCTGGAAAAAAGATATAGAAAAAGATTATTTTCCTCCGAGTGTGCACTAAACGTCTGCATGGATATGCCCACTTTACAGAAAACAATCTGCACAATTCACTACTAAAACAGAAGAAATGTGTTACCAAAACGCCAGTATATGGACCCAGAATAAAAAAAAATGTCTAGGGTGAGACTAAAATAATAAAGGCACCAATAGATGGTAAACAGCAGAAAAAAATTAAAGTATAATGAGCTGTACCCTTGTGTGAACTGTTGTTGCTTGTTTCTAAGTGAAAGGCAAGACACCTACTTCAGTGATAAGGAAAAGTCAATCTTGCTGGTCTCGCTGTTTCGCACCAGGTAACTTGCTTCTTTACAAAGCCTCAGGAGACTCTCTGCATCTGTGCGGCTGATTGCACCGTGGTACCAGCTGTGAGGGCATCAGATTATTAAAGAAAACAAAAGAACAAAAAGGTTGTCTCATTCAAGGGAGGAGGATGGCTACTAATCTATTCTTGATTAAAAAAAAATATATTATCATACACACACACACACTTACATACCAGACACGCACATAAACATCATACACGCATTCATAGATACATTTTTTTTAACTGAAATTTTAAGACTACAAGTAAAACGCAATAGTAAAGTTATGCTTATATTATTATATTGATTTATGCACATTTACATTAGCACAAACACTTCACTGAACATGCAGTACGGCAGACATATAAGCCAACAAAGGCCAAGGAAGAAGTGGTATGGTAATAAGGATTCTTGTAGTTATAGCAGCAGGTGAGCCACCAATAACCGAAGGGAGCCAAGTCTGCATCTTCTCCTATGCTATTTGTTATATACCAACATGTACAAATCAGTCCATAATCAGTGACCATTCACAATTATGAAAAGCACTTCTATGCTGGAGGATAATTATGAGGAACAAGGTGGGATTTGGTGGACCACTTGCTGGGTATGGGGATGGAGGCAAAAATGCCAGTCTATAGCCTCGAATTAGGTCTCAGGGAGGTGGCAATTATACCCTTGAGTATGGAATAACCCAAAAATATCTGGGTAGTACGGGGGGAATTCGGACATCATTTATCTGCCGAACTGGTGCAATATTTTTAGAAAGTAAGTAATATGGATAGTTTCGTTGGATGTCTAGTTTATAGTAGCATTTACATACTACAGCAAAACAAGTCCATAATGGTGCCCCACCTCCCTGATTGCTGGTTATGGCAGGTAAAACCAAAATCATAACATGCTAAAACAGACATAATATGAAATATTTCAGGAGCGTTGATGTCGCTCTGTTCTAAAACCTACAGCTAAAAGGAGCACTATGTGCAGAGGTGTAGGAGGGTATTACTTAAGGCCCGGTTCACACCTGAGCGCTTTACCGCACGTTCCTACACGCGGTAAACCGCACAACCGCAGGATCATGCGGTAAAATGCCATACGCCCAAAGAAGTACAGGAGCTTTTTTGGGGCGTATTAACGCGCGTATCCGGCTGTATCCATAAGGATACAGCCGGATACCCCCTCAGAAACTTGTGTTTGCCACGCGTTAATTTTACTGCAAATTGCAGTAAAACCAGTAAATTTTCATTTAAAAAAAAATATATTTAAATTGTAATTAGTTCATATATCATTCTCCTAAATCTGTGATCGACTGCTTGAGTGTACCCCAGCAACAATATTAATGATACTTACAATTGATTTTCTAATGGCAGGGAAGGATCTATCCTTTCTCCCACTGAGTTGGTTTGTTCTACACTTGGATTCTTGGTTGCCTTCAAGTTCCCAGCTGAGTGTCTGTGCGTGTGTCTGAGTCTGTTCTCTCTGGATGATGACATGCCTGTTTTATCAGCACCATCAAACTGGGCTGAAGAAAAAGAGAAAAAACTATAAACTGTAATTCTACTCACCACAGAATAGAAAGAAGAACAAAATCATTAAGAATTAAAGGGGGCATCTATATTCCTGTAATTTCTTATTAGGGAAGGCCAGAACACCCACAGAAAGTCCTATAAATAAGACCCCTACTATGCTATGTTTTCTCTAAAAATGTGTAGAAAATGTGTAGAACTGTAAGTTAATATATCCCAAATATTCACACAGCTAGGAAGTTGAAAGTAGCTCTATATTATAGATAATTTCAGGATGAACTGGTGAAGGATGGGAAGGGAAATTGAAAGCCCATGGAAACTCACTTTGGGCAAGGACACTTAACAGAATTTGAAAACATTTTAGAATTGTATAGAATGGTCAGATGAAAATAGAATGGTCAGAGGAAAATGGCACTCATCTGCGAATGTCACTGTGACTGGGCTGCCGCTGCAATGCAGGTAAGTGTATGAGCTCTATGCAAATAATAGATATTGTAATCCAACCAAAAGTTACAAACAGAAGATTGACAACTCATTTGTACCAATGACTACTGCACGTCCATCTTTCCTTGCCATAGCTATCTCGGTATACATATAGATTTATAGGAGTGTATTTTATGATAGAATTAGCTACATCCATTGACCTTCATATGTGAAATGTGTCTTAAGTGTCATAATAAATAGGCCAATCGTTTCCATGTAAAGGATCGAAATGTTGTAATGAATATTATGCAGTTTAATTTCTCACTTTGTAACCATGACAATTCACTACTCTGACAGTTCTATGCACTCTATGTATTCACTGGATTCTTAAGTTATGTTTCCGAATGAAAAGACAAACAATTGTAAACAGTATCTAAAAGGAAAAGTATACATCAATAAAGTATGGAGTGAAAAATATAAATAGAGCATAACAGCTAGACTCCAACTCAGAAAACAATTACAGGACTGGTCAACGTTTTCATTCAGACACACATCAAGCTCACAGACAACGAGATCAAGTAATTCTCACACACTCACACGTTATATAAGTTCCCATACATACACAAACACAGCTACTCTTTTGACCTTTTTATATGGACTCTTTCATTCATAAAGTTGATTTAATATGCATTATTTTTAAATTTTTTAATTGATTGATAAAGCACTTTAAATGGTCACTTTATTTGATTAGTAATTACATGTATATTTGTTATTTTAGGGTAACCGTAATAGTTTATCATACATCTTAAAATACACTATATTGCCAAAAGTATTGGGACACCCCTCCAAATCATTGGATTCAGGTGTTCCAATCACCTCCATGGCCACAGGTGTATGAAATCAAGCACCTAGGCATGCAGACGCTTCTACAAACATTTGTGAAAGAATGGGTCGCTCTCAGGAGCTCAGTGAATTCAAGCGTGGTACTGTGATAGGTTGCCACCTGTGCAATAAGTTCAGCCATTAAATTTCCTTGCTACTAAATATTCCACGGTCAACTTTTAATGGTATTATAACAAAGTGGAAGCAACTGTGAACAGCAGCAACTCAGCCACAAAGCTGTAGGCCACGTAAAATGACAGAGCGGGGTCAGCGCATGCTGAAGTGCACAGTGCGCAGAAGTTGCCAACTGTCTGCAGAGTCAATAGCTACAGACCTCCAAACTTCATGTGGCCTTCAGATTGGCACAACAGTGCATAGAGAGCTTCATGGAATGGGTTTCTGTGGCTAAGCATCTGCATTCAAGCCTTACATCACCCAGTGCAATGCAAAGCGTCGGATGCAGTGGTGTAAACACGCCACCACTGGACTCCAGAGATATGGAGACATGTTCTCTGGAGTGACGAATCACGCTTCTCTGTCTGGCAATCCGATGGACGTGTCTGGGTTTGGGGGTTGCCATGAAAAACGGTACTTTGACTATTGGGAGAGTAAATTGTACTCTTACCAATACTTTGAGCTGGCATGTGACACTGCAGGTGTCGCACTCAAGCGCTATAGCTCGAGAAAGTAGTGATCACTGTCAGTCACTGTTACCAACAGGGATTCCCTCCTCCTCGCTCTCTATTCTTCCAGGACTCATTGGAGGGACAGACAGGGGAGGGGGCGGGCAGAGCTGGCTCTTTGCTAGAGAAGGCAGAGCCAGCTGTCAATCAGGTAGCGGGGTGGATCCTGAATATATATTGTCAGTATCCTTCCAGGCTGCAGCGCAGCTCGGCACGGTCAGCATATAGCGGCCACTATAAGCTGAGTTTGGGTCACAGGAGGACATTACTAAAATGTCCTTTAGTGACGCAAAACGAACTAAAGCCAAAAATAAAGTTTGGTTTTAGTTCTCTATTAAAATGTCCCTGGTAATGGGTTAATACGCGTGGTTAAATTATTCTGGGCTCTTTATTAAGATATACAACTTGTTCAGCTTGGCCCATCCATCCATTTGGATTGGCACATGTCACCCATGGCAGTACTGAGCTATCCATGCCTTTTTAAAAAAAAAAAAATAGTTTGAAAATTAGTCTTAAAACAGCGAGATTTGGCTTCCATAGAGTTCTGGGGTCCGCAGACCTTCCACTGGGTTCACTGAACCTCCCCCGAACTATCTTTGAAAGTGAACATGCTCTACTGTAGGGATAAGCTACCCAGGCAAATGGAATTATTATTTTCCAAATTAATTTTCACTTTGTGTATCCTTATTCATTAAGAATGAAAATCGCAAACCTACACTGAAAAAAATACCAAATCACATGCAACGATAATTTAATATATATTTTTGCTTTCACGTGATTGGACATTTAGGGGGTGATTTACTAACCTAAAACACACACACCAGGTGTGTGTGATTTTCACACAGCAAAACGTATTTATCAACCAAAAAGTCTCTAAAAGCATATTTCCACTAATGCCATATATGGAAAAATCATGCACATGATGCATATATAATGCTGCTTCACAGTTTAGACAAAAATGGTTAGCTCATGCATTTACATTCCTTGCATTCATCAACGCAAGCAACACAACATAGAGCTAATTTATACAACATCACCTTGGAATCCCTTCAGGGCTTTGCACAACACACCTGCTGGGTGTGTACACATTACAAATGTGTTTAGATTCCACCCATAGATCATGCTGGGAGGGAACACACTGCAGAGGTGTATACACATTCGTGGTGTGTTTATAAGGTTAGTAAATCAACCCCTTAAAGTCAGAACAGCTTCATCTAAATTCACTAAGCCAAGTACATTTGCAATAGTGAATGTTTGGTATAAGAGCCAAAGCTTTGCTGACTTCAGTCATCCTGTTTTTTTTATAATTTTCTATGCACGATTGGGTATTCTTTGCAAAGCGAATTTTTACTTATTTCACTCCATTTTTTTTAATTTTTTTTTTACAGAAGAAGTCCAAATTTACTATGGAAAGTGAAAATTCACTTTGTTGGTGAACATGATCTACTGCTTTAGTAAATCATGGTCAATATGTTTTTATATCCACCTGGAATTCATCTTTAACCATTTAAAATGCTTGGGAGGTTCACCATGATTCTTTTAATGGGGTATAATTGGATTCTAATACTCAGAAATTGTAGGTGAATTGTAACTCAATTATGGTACTTTTTTTTTTGTCAACACAGGCGCAATAAATATGTTTGTCCATAATGTTACATTTCTTTCAAGAAAGTAATTTACAACTAACCTTGCATTAGCCTAGTGAACCCCAAATGTTGCAAGCTATTTAGCATATTCAAACACCTCAAAACTATCAGGAGATAGTTGGGCTGTAAGGGACAACCAGAAGGTTAAAGTAAGTGCTTCCAAGCTATGAAAATGTTAGAAAATATATATCTATATGCCACTGGAAAACTAAGCTTTCACTGAGCATGCACCACATTTATATTTTGACCAAGCCAGGGAAAAGATCTGAGCAGGTGCTGGCTCTCTGGCAATATGATGACAGGTAAGTGTAGCTTCACTCATAACTCTTTTAGATAACATCCCCTTCCACAGCCAGTCTCAAAAGACAGGGTTCAAAACAAGCCAGAGAGAGAATGGATCCAAACAGTTAGATAAATACACAGCAAGATAAAATAAAAGATGTACAGAGAAGAGCCAGTAAATAGATTCTTCTGGTGCCAAATTTTGATACAATATCTTAGACAATAAATGTTGTTATCTTGAAGTAAAATCTTTAATGCATCCTGAAATGTTGATGGCGAACAAAAAGACTATCAGTGCAATGGTGACACCGGATGACAAAAATCAATAGAAAAAGGCTGGAGGGGGCCTGGGACTACGGTGTACACAGATCAGATCAAGAATACATTACTGCTTAACAGGCTTTCACATCAGTATTTCTGTCTGTTTGCTCCCTCTGGATACTGAGATATTGACGCTTTCTAATGCAGTCTCACAGCATATTTCACTACAACTTCAGCCTGTTCCCCATGTCAGCAGCAGCTACAGAGTTAATGCAGGTTAAGTGCTGCATTAGCATTTCAATTTTTAGTTAGTTACTCCAAGAAACACTGCATCCAAATAGCAAAGTACCTTATAATTGGAAATAAGACAAGATTTACAATGCATGGTTTTCTTACTATATTGCACAACAGCACTTGTTACACAGTACTTGCTGACAGAATTTCTTGGCCAATAGCAGTATTTTAGTAATTTTGTAGCAAGGTGATATTTATATACTACTAGAATTTATTATGAAGCAAGTATATGAAACAATTTCCTTTAAATAAAATACTTGATTTCATCTTTTTCTTATGCTCCATCATGGATTGGGTTTACATATATTTTAACTGCACCTTCAAATACATATAGGAAAAGACTGAAAGTGCTTTTTATTTTCCTTTCTTTTAATTCATATAAATATATAATGCGCATGGTCAATTCTACTGATTTTAATTGGGAACACCAATTGCCATACCAAGGAGATATACAGACAGACATAGCAACAGGCCCGCACTCTAAAGACCCACTAATGACTCTGTGTACCTGTGCAAGTATCGGAG